TTCTCTCTTGCTCTCTTCCTCTCTCTCTCTCTCTTTAAATTTGACCAGAGAGGGACAGAGTGAGAAAGCAAGCTATGAGGTCCGGGATTCGAACCGCAGTCAGCTATGTGGGAGTCCAGCATCCTTAACCACCACACCGCCTGCCACCCAGTCATAAACACTTAAACATTTTTCCCAAAGAATTATTTGATTTCATTTTCTTTTTTTTTTTTTTTTTGCCTTCCTTTCTCCCTTTCTTTAAATTTGACTAGAGATGGACAGGGTAAGAGAGAAAGAGAGGAAGAGGGAAGGAGGGAGGGAGAGAGAGGGGGGGAGAGGAAGAGAGAGGGAGGGAGAGAGAGAGAGAGAGAGAGAGAGAGCAAGCGAGAGAGAGAGAGAGAGAAAGAGAGCAAGCCACCAGGTCTAGGACTTAACCCATGGTCAGCCAACTTGAACCGCAGTTGGCCGCTTGGGAGTCCAATGCCCCTAACCACCACGCCAGCTGCCAGCCCCCACATTTAACATTTTACCTCATGTTGCCAATTGCCTTCCAGTACACCTTCCCCCGAGCAGGGCAAGGAAGCGTGATCCATAGATCTTCATTAAGACTTGACGTTATGCAGCGTTTCACTCAGTCTTTGCCAATCTGAAATGGTATTTCCTCGTCCTTTTTCTTTCTCTGGTTACTGGTTGGGTTGAGGAATTTTTCCCCTTTCCTTCTAAAGCTGTATTTAATCTTATTGATGATAGAGAGTATGTGTGTGCGCAGGAGAGAGAGAAACACACCGAGGGAGGAGACCTCTCTTGGTAGGGCCTTGTCATGCCGGGCTGCCTTCTGCCCGGCCCTCTAGCTTGCAGGATTGTGGGCACGTGTGTGGATGCCTGGAATATTTTCTGCTCAACCGAGGACCAGAACCTGTGGTTGGCTGCCTGGCTTCCAGCCCTGAAGTTCAGTTTGCTACCAGCTGTGCCACCAGGCTGGGTCTGGAGCTTCTTTTGATGTCTATTACTTTATAGAAAATATAAATGAATAATCAATATCCACCCCATTTGTATTTGTTGTATGAACTTGTTAGTGGCTTCACAGATTTGTGACTTCTTGTTCTTCTTAGTTTGCCAGAGGGCCTGCGGTTGCCAGAGAGAGACAGAGGGAGCGGGAACGTGAGAAAACAGCCTCCTGGGGCAGTCACGCCACAGTCCCCTTTATCCCCTCTTTTGGGGATTTTGGGCCTGCAAGCACATGCACTCAGCGTGTTTCTCAAGCCGTCAGGTCTGAGACTCTCAAACCGTGAGGTCAACCAGGTGGGATCCACCCGCCTTAACCAGCAGGCCATGGCTTAGCCCTGACAGAGTGATTTACATATTGAGCAATTAACCTCTTTGTAGTTTTCTTTTTTGCAGTGTTTGGTTTTATTTTCCATTTTTTAAAAAAATGGCCAGGACCAGCAGTTAGCATAATGGCTATGTCGCTGGACTCTCACGTACTCAACTGCGGTTCGCGTCCCGGATCCGGTGGCTTAAAACTCATGCCGGGTGCGTGTGCGTGCGTGCCCAAGATCCCGAGAGGAGAATGGAGGAGAAGGGATTGCGGCGTGGCCATCCTCCCTGGGGGGTGATTTCTCGCTTTCCATCTCTCTGTCTCTGTCTGTCTGGCGAGCGCATGCGCCCTATAGCAAAAACAAAACAAAACAAAAAAACACCTCTGAAAAACAAAACCAGTGAACTAAAAAAAAAATTGCCATAAGGCTTGTGTGCTTGTCTGAGAGAGACAGAGAGAGAGATCGAGAGAGAAATCCTCTCTCCTTGTGTCCCTATCCCTCCCCCCCAGGGATATGGCCACCCTGCAATCCCTGCTCCTCCATTCTCCTCTTGGGATTTGGGGCACACACACGAACTCGCACCTGGCATGCTTTTGAAGCCACCGGTTCTGGAGGTCAAACTGCATAGTCAGCTCTGTGGGGTCCAGCCGCCCTGACCACCATGCCACGGGCTGGCCCGTCTGCTTTCCATCTTCGATGTGCACTTTGTCGTGAAGTCTATGGCTCTCTGTGTTTTTGTCCTGCTCGATTGCAGGGCAGCCCCCTCCACACACGCCTAGGCAGCGTGACCCTCTATCTCACCACACTCTCCAGGAGCCTGTCCATCTTGCTGGTCCTTGGGCGGCTGAGTTCTAACGTCAGCAGTCTCCATGGACAAGCCCGGGGGGGTTGGCCACCTTTTTCTTTAAGGGACCAGATGGTAAATATTTTGGGTTTCAAGGACAGTACGGTGTCTGCGGCAAATACTCAGCTCTGTTGTTGTATAGAAAAAATAACTGGAGGGGCTGGCAGGTGGCATGGTGGTTAAGGGTGCTGGACTCCCACATGGCCGACCATGGTTCAAGTCTTGGACCTGGTGGCTTGCTTTCTCACTTCCTCTCTCTCTCTCTGTCTCTCTCTGATCAAACTGGAAAATAACAATGATAATAATAATAAAGTTAAATGAAATAATTCTTTAAAAAAAACCTGGAGACAAGGGGCAAAGGAATGGGCACGGCACGTCTGTGTTCTAATAAAACTTTATTTCTTTCAAAACCAGGCATCGGGCTTTAATGGCCCATGTCTAGATTAGACAGTTGCCAAATTGCCCATTCAGCTAGTTCGCAGGCACGGCTGTGCCACTTCCGGCAGTGTCATTTTTTTTGGAGAGGTTTTTGCTATAGGGCTTGTACGCTTGCTAGAAAGACAGAGAGACAGACAGAAAGTGAGAAATCATCCCCCCCAGGGGGGGTGGCCACGCTGCAATCCCTTCTCCTCCATTCTCCTCTCGGGATCTTGGGCATGCACGCACACGTGCCAGGCGTGAGTTTAAGCCACCGGGTCCGGGACTTGAACTGGGGTCAACTACATGGGAGTCCAGTGACATAGCCATTACGCTAACTGCTGGTCCCCAGCAGTGTCATTGTTGTGGCACAATTACACGGGCTGCAGTCAATGAATGACTACCTGCAGAGTAGTTTTTTTGTTGTTGTTGGCTTGCTTTCTCACTTCCTCTCTCTCTCTCTGTCTCTCTCTGATCAAACTGGAAAATAACAATGATAATAATAATAAAGTTAAATGAAATAATTCTTTAAAAAAAACCTGGAGACAAGGGGCAAAGGAATGGGCACGGCACGTCTGTGTTCTAATAAAACTTTATTTCTTTCAAAACCAGGCATCGGGCTTTAATGGCCCATGTCTAGATTAGACAGTTGCCAAATTGCCCATTCAGCTAGTTCGCAGGCACGGCTGTGCCACTTCCGGCAGTGTCATTTTTTTTGGAGAGGTTTTTGCTATAGGGCTTGTACGCTTGCTAGAAAGACAGAGAGACAGACAGAAAGTGAGAAATCATCCCCCCCAGGGGGGGTGGCCACGCTGCAATCCCTTCTCCTCCATTCTCCTCTCGGGATCTTGGGCATGCACGCACACGTGCCAGGCGTGAGTTTAAGCCACCGGGTCCGGGACTTGAACTGGGGTCAACTACATGGGAGTCCAGTGACATAGCCATTACGCTAACTGCTGGTCCCCAGCAGTGTCATTGTTGTGGCACAATTACACGGGCTGCAGTCAATGAATGACTACCTGCAGAGTAGTTTTTTTGTTGTTGTTGGTTTTTTTTTTTTTTTTTGAGTACACAGAGTCAACAAATAGCATAGTTGTGTGTAATTGTGCACAAGAGAGAGACAAGGGTGAGAAAGATATAGAGAGAGAACCTTGGACAGAGTGTTGTGCTGAGACCTCTCTCCTCAAGTGTCCAGTTCCTCGGGATCCTGGACACCCACTGGTCTTCAGGCTGACCCAGGGATCTGAACCTGTGTTCAGCCACGTGGCTTCCAGCGCTGCAGTCCGGTAGGCTGTGGCATGTAGGCTGGGCTGACAGGTAGGATTCGGTCAACATGTTGTCCCTGACACAAAGAAAAAGAAATACTGGCGTTACTCTATTGCCGCAGGAAAGCTTTCGCTTCAGATATGTAGAACTGGGTGTTGGACAACGCGAAGGAAATAGACATCTTAGTTAGTGACATCGTTAGAACTGATGGCATTTAACGTAAAGGTTCCGATTTGTTCCCTGAATTACCAACGGACTAGAAAGCACGTATGATATTTCCTGCCAGCGTCTACATGAGATCTGGGCCCGTCTCAAATTCCTCTCGACTTCTGAAGAGAGCCCTAGAGAGCTGCTGATGGTGAGACCAAGCACCAAGGGAGGTATCAATTACGCCTGCAGATTTCTGCCTCGGCAGTGCACGGGTCCTTCCTGGCAGTAGGCGAAGGGCAACACACGCACACTGGCAGAGTGAATGAATCCCTGGCCCTCGCTGCCCGCTGCCCTCCGGAACCCAACTCTGCGAGTACTACCCAGGAATACCCATTGAAACAAGCACCCCTAGGGGTCATTCTGAGCTCCCCTTCCAGCTGGAAAACCCCTACGCGTTCTCGGATCCCGAAATAAACTTGCAGGGAGGGTGATCAGCCCTACGAGTCCTTCTTGACCTATCTGTCCACTTTCCATCCAGTGTGGAGAATGTGGGATATTTATGCCTGACTGTAGGAAATGACTCAATGGAAAAAGTGACTCTGTGTTTTCAGCTTCGGTTTATCTTCATGACTCGGTTGTTTCAAGCCTCTCACCGTTATGTCTTTAAGACTTTCGGATGGTTACTAAGACCAGGATGGTGACTAAAATGAACTCCAATGAATGGTTTTATTTTATCCCTAATTCCTTTTACTAATATTAACCTCGAGTTATTTGGCAAAAGCCAAACAAACATACACAAACATTCAGCAAAAATAAACATTCTCTTTTATGGCTTTTTTCTCTTTTTTCATTAAGAAAGAAAGTGACTGGGTAGTCAAGGCACTGGATCCCACAGAGCTGGCTCCCCAGGGGGTGATTTCTCACTCCACATTCCCCATCAGTCCCTGACTCTGGCAACTATGTGAGCCCTAAAAAAAAAAGTGCTAGCTCAGCCTAGCAAGGACCTCCAGCTTAGCACCTGTGAGATTTTTTATTTTTTTTGAAGAGGTGTTTTGCTATAGGGCACATGTGCTCACCAGACAGAGAGAGAGAGAGACAGAGAGACAGAAAGCGAGAAATCACCCCCCAGGGGGGATGGCCACACCACAATCCCTTCTCCTCCATTCTCCTCTCGGGATCTTGGGCATGCACGCACACATGCCCGGCGTGAGTTTTAAGCCACCGGGTCTGGGATGCGAACTGCTGTCGACTACATGGGAGTCCAACGACATAGCCATTATGCTAACTGCTGGTCCCCCCTCCAGCTGAGCACCTGTGTAGAGCATCTATGGCCCTCTGGAAGTGGGAGAGTTGTCCTCCTGCTTCGTCTCTGGGCGTTTTTCATATTTCAGACGAACAACGCATCCGAGGGCACTGAACTTTCTCTGTTCCAGGGCAGGGATGGGGAGATGATTTGCAACTCAGATATTTAGAGCAGAGTCCAAAGTCTTAAGGAAACCTACCACCCCCTGGCCCTCTCTCATTCCCACACAGTGGAGATTACTTCCCTTCTCTTTCTGGAGGACCATTGAAACCAGGTAAAAGAACATTTTGAGGATCTGTAGGTGGCATGGTAGTTAAGGCGCTGAACTCCACATGACTGACTGTGGTTTGAGTCCCAGAGCTGGTGGCTTGGGACTCTCCCCCCCGCCCCATCCCTAGTCTGTCTTTTGTGAAGTTATAAAAAGAATTTCAAATGGGAATGCTTTATTTTAACATTTATTTATTTATTTATTTATTTATTTAGAAAATTTTGACCAGAGAGAGACAGAGAGAGAGGGAAAGTGAGAAAGCAAGCCACCACATCCTGGATTGGAACCGTGGTTGACCCTGTGGGAATCCAGTGCCCTAACCACCACTCTACCTGCTGGCCCCATAAATCATTCTTTTAAAAAAACAAAAAGAGAACACTTTGAAAGGCCATTGTTTGTGGTAAGCATGTGGCTGGAAGGAAAGGAGGAATGAGGAACGCGCCATGAGAGAGACAGCTCGGCGCTGATTCACCTGTGCTGGCCTGGCGGTGTGTGTCCATGAAAACCCTTCCTCCTGCCGATGCGCATCTCCACCAGGGCTGTTGTCATTTAGGACTAGTCTAGAGACTCATTTCTCTTGCCGTCTGTTCTCGTACTTTAAAAAAACGTTTATTATTTCTTCCATGAGAGAGAAAGAAAGAGAGCGAGAGGCAGCACCACCACTGGGTGCCCTTGCTGTGATCCACCCCAGCCTCAGCCAGTGCAGATCATGGACATGCGTGAGCCTGGTGCACTCAGACGGGTCTCCGTGCATGAGTCCTGGACCTTGCCCTGTGGGGCAGCCGTGTAGCACATAGCGTTTTACCACGGCATCACCTTCGACCCCCTGTCATCATCCTTTGGGAGCAAAAAAATAAACATACGAAGTAGTCAACCGTCATTGGGAAACTTGCGAAAACAGGACTGACTGTGACATTTCAAATTTGCGATGTGGTACATTATAACCGTTTCGGTGCTTTTCACCCCATTTGTGGAGGGGGAGGTCTTGTGTTTCTCGATCACTGCTGGCTTTGCCGTGCACGGTGGTGGGACTGTAACGGAATATAATTTCTCTGTGTGGGCTTGTGGGAGTGAAGGTTACACCACAGGGGCTGCGCAGCCACAGCTGTGTGGATGGAAAATTCCAGTCCTTTCTGTTGCAATGTTTTCCATTTTTCTATGTGCAAGGAAATGTGTGCTTAACTGAGCTCAGCTGTTTGAAAATTCACAGACATTTTGAGATAGTACCTGTCGTTGCTGGGTAGGCAGGCTGCAGTGACAGCACAAAAGAAGCGCTTCATTGAAAGGACTTGATAAAGTGCGGTTTTCGTGACCAATACCCTGCCAGACGCTGAGGGAGGTTTAAACATTGCAGTGTTTGGGGACCAGCAGTTAGCGTAATGGCTATGTCGCTGGATTCCCACGTAGTCGACCGCGGTTCGCGTCCCGGACCCGGTGGCTTAAAACTCACGCCGGGCGTGTGTGCGTGCATGCCCAAGATCCCGAGAGGAGAATGGAAGAGAAGGGATTGCGGCGTGACCATCCCCCCTGGGGGGTGATTTCTCGCTTTCTGTCTCTATGTCTCTCTCTGTCTGGCAAGCGCATGTGCCCTATAGTGAAAAAACCTCTCCAAAAAAACCAAAAATCAAAACATTGTAGTGTTTAAATTTTGGTGGATGTAATAAGAGGTATGTTCATGAAATAACTTAGTTATTTTTTATTTTTTAAGAGAGTTATTTATTTATTTTTTTTTTGCTATAGGATGCATGCACTTGCCAGAGAGACAGAGATAGAAGGTGAAGAATCACTCTGCCGGAGGATGGCCACGCTGCAATCCTTTCTCCTTCATTCTCCTCTCGGGATTTTGGACACACATGCACACGCACCTGGGGTGAGTTTGAAGCCGCCAGGACTCCAACTGTGGCTGACGACATGGGAGTCCTATGACATAGCCCTACGCCATCTGCTGGTCCCAGTTTCTTTTTCCTTAACGGAGAGAAAGTGACAGATTTTGGTAGTGCATGCTCCTGGTTGATGAAAGTACTGAATTTTGAGCTGTAATTTTGAGGATAGAGAGACCTTCCCTTTTATTTATTTTTTGGAAAGCTTCAAGGAATAAATTCAGAAAAGTGTGCATAGGTGCCCTGAGTGCACACATTTCTAACCTTTTACAACTGAGCACAACCTCCTAGCCAGAAACCAGATCAAGAGAGCGACTTCCCCAACACCTCGGAGAGCAACCCCTTGCCTCCTTCCTGTCACCTGCCCCACCTCTCTGAAGAACAGGAATCCCACCTCTCTGAAGAACACGAATGCATTTTACTCGTTTTTATCCTTGCCGTGCATTGGAGCCTGCTGCATTTGGGTGGTCTAGGACACCATCGTACCTCATGGCTCACCTCACTGTTAAGGGGTCGCAGACTGTTGGCTCTTCTGCTGTCTAGCATTCCCCCAAACGGATATGAGAGGTCTTCGGAAAGGTCACAGAAAATGGGTGTCATGGAGGGCCCACCCATAGCCTAATGGCTAAGGTGGCTGAATCCCACATGGTTGACTACGTGGTTTGATCCTGGACCTGGAGGTTTGAAAAACACACTGGGCACGTGTGTGCTGTTCCCAAAATCCCCCAAAGAGGGAGAAATGGAGGAAAAAGGATTGTGACATGGTCATCCCATCCCCCATGGGTGGATTGCTTTTCCATTTTCCCTCCCTCTTTCTCTCTCTGTCCCTTTCCAGTGAGCACAGATACCCTCTGGAAAAATTAAAAAAAAAAAAAAAAAAGAAAATGTGTGTCATGAGAAGATTATGCATGGATTTCAATTTTTTTTGGACCAAAATAAACTCATACCTCAATTCTCTTCTTCACAAACTTTTCCAAGTCCCCTCCTGTCCCGTATTTATCCTTTGCATTGTCGATGTGATTTGAGGGGTTTGCGGTTTGATTGTACTTTGAAGAGTGGCACATGGGTATTCAAGTGCATGCCTGGGAGTGATCCCGTATATACTTTTCTGTTCACTGGATACTCAGAGGTAGGAGCAACGGTTAGTAGAGTCCTGTCGTCCAGCATCCTCGAGTGGTTGTACCCATTTACACTCCCGCCAGAAGGGGGCGATATTTCCACCACTCTACACCTTTGCCATGGATGGTTTGAATGGGTATGACATCAAACAGCCCCTTCCTTCCCTCCTTCCTTCCTTTTTTAGTTTTTGCTATAGAGCGTGTGCGCTGGCCAGAGAGACACAGAGAGAGAGGGGGGAAAAAGTGAGAAACCACCCTCTCCCAGGGGCCATGACCATGCCCAATCCCTTTTCCTCCAGCCTCCTCTTGGGATTTTGGGCATGCCTGCATATGTGTCTGGTGTGGGTTTCAAGCCATGGTCTCCAGAACTCTAACCTCACAGATGGCCACGCGGGCTCCAGTGCCTTAACCTCTATACCACCTGCTGCCTTCCCTAGCTGTCCTGAAAAACAGTTTGAGATTTGGATGTTTTAAATAACTTTGGAAAAAGATACCAATTCTCAGCCTGTCTTTGGTCTAAATTACTCCGGTCACGTGGGGGCACGCAAAACTCTGAGAAATTGTTCAGGAGAAGCACCGTCTAGCGTGAGATCCTCTAGCCCATGTGGCTGTTTCAGTGTAAACGCATTAAAATGAGCCTGGTCATCACACATAAATGCATGATTAGTAAAATTGTATTGGACGCTCCATTCTCAGTCATGTCAGCCACAGTTCAAGCGCCCGAGAGCTGCGTGTGGCTGGAGGCCACCACATGAAGCGCAGGACCTTTCTCTCGCTGTAAGAGTGAGCGAGCAGCCATGGGGGGAGGTGAGGAAATGCCAAGGAAAGGAGGATGGATTGTGTGGAAGATGGACATGTGACATTGCATCCTATTTTAGTGGTTACTATAAAAAGTGGTTCTGTCTTTGATCGCAGCTGCCCTGCTGTAGACCACGCTTGGTGCTTTTCTG